TGTGTTGGTAGAGTGGTTTTGTGTGCTAGGTGTCCTGTAGGGCCCAGTGGCTCAGCCTCCCCAGTTACCTGAGGTGGACACTCCCCAGTTACCTTGTGGGCTTTGTGCACACTCTTGTTGTAGTTAAGCCTTGATTATTGTAGGATCACTGGGAGGAATTCACCTCCAGGCCAATTGTCTGTGAGAATCAGCTGTGTCTGCAGTGGGAGATCTTCTGTGCTGAAGACACCCTTCTGGGGCAAGACTTGCTTCAGTGGGGCTTTGGTGCTCACTGAGTCTGCGCCCTGAGTGTGTCCCTTATGGATCTGAGGAGTTGTAATCTGGATGGTCCCACTCTGACCACTGGGTACACTGGCTCTTGGATCTAAGGAGGTGCTAATTTAGCCTCTGCCTGAGATTACCCAGCAGGAGCTATGAAGAGAACTACAGATTCCCCTTCCTTTTTTGGAGTTTGGCGGTGCCCAGATGAGGCCCGGCTGTGAAGCAATGCAAGCTGCTGTGGGGCCTTGGGCCTTCTCTTGGAAGTTCTGGGTCTCTCTGACCCGTTAGCATTTAGGGCCAGAGAGAGAAAGAGCAAGTTGGACGCCTGGCCTGCTCAGTCCGGGGGAAGAGTAGCAGGGGTGGTCGGAGATGGCGGGGAGCTGTCACAGGACCGTCTGTGGAGACGGGGAGGCTGCGGGGCGGGTGTCGGTCGGACAAGAGGAGGGGTGCAGCTGTCAGACACTGGGAGCTTGAATCGCTCTTGATTCATTTGAAATAAGTCAATGGATTCGGTAACTAGTTTGGTTTTCTCAGGGTCACTGTAAGGGCCCTATAGCTTCTGAACATGGCACCCTAGTGTTGTTCCGATTGTCTAGTTTCCATGGCGATTTCCTTGTTTTTCACTTGAGGTCTCAGGAGCACAGACTTGAGTCAGTCATGTTCCTGGTTCAGAAAAGTCTCATCTTTCCTGGTGCCAGCTCCGTTTTGTGTCCGTTTCTGTTGCATGACTGTGTTGCATGTTTATCTTGATAACATCATGAGGACCCATGGACCTGCCGCCCAGAGTGAGCCCACTCAGTCCCCCGACCACATCAGCGCCTGCCTCCCGCTTCTGTGACCCCAGCCACATGCCGTGGCTCCCCTGCTGAGCCTCGGTCTCTCTACAAATCTAAAGAACTTAATTTAAAAAAATTTTTAGCTGTTTTTAACTTTATAAAAAGAGATTCGGGCTGTATATAATACTTTGGAAATTTAAAACTTCTTTTGTTAAGATTCATCTATTTTGTTGCATGTCATAGTTTATTCAGTTTTTTAAAACTGAGGTGAAATTTATATACAGTGATACACAAGATTTTAATGGGAAAATTGTACAAAATGACAATTTGATGAGTTTTGACAACTGAATTCACTACATAACTAAGACCCCAGCCAAGATCCAGACTGTCCCATCACTCCACATTGCGGGGGCCGCCTGTTCTCGAATTCGTAGGATGGGACTGTGTAGTGTGCACCGTTGTTTTTAGCTGTTCACTCAGCGTGGTGGTCACCGTGGTAGCTGCGTGTTGGTGGCTTATTCTTGGTTGTTATTGTCTTTTGTATGAATGGACCACAACTTGTTTCTGCTCTCCTGCTGTCTGACCAGCCCACCTCCTCGCCTGCCCCCCTTCCGTAGGCGTAGTTTCAGCCGCTCGAGGAGACATGATGTGTCTCCTTGCGGTTTTAATTACATTCCCCTGGTAGATCATGATGTTGGGCACCTTTTCATGGTTTATTGGCCATTTTTTTGTGAAATGCCTATTCAGATATTTTGCCTGCTTTTTTAAATTGGCTTCCCTTCCTGTTAGTGACTTAAGAAAGTGTGTTCTTTGTTTGGGACCCTGGTCCTTTGTCAGGTGCATGTACTGTATTTGCTCCCAGAATGTGGCTTCACTTTTCATAGGTTAGTGGTGTCTTTTGATGAGCAGTTTTACATTTTGATAAGTCAAATTTAATAATTTTTTTCTTTTAGCGTTAATTTACTTCCTAAGAAATCTCTGCTTGTCCCAAAGGAGAAGTAATTCTCTTATGTTTTCTGCCAGTAGCTTATAGCCTTTAGGTTTTATTTAATCTGTTGTCCGCGTCCCACTGATTGCTGTGGGTGGTGTAGGGTCGGAAGTGGCTGTTTGTTGTGGTTCTCGGTGGCAGCACTGCGGGCCGAGGAGACTTTTCTCCCTTGAACCGGCTGACGCCTGTGCTGAAAGCCCAGTGGCCGTATCAGTGTGGGTTATTTCCAGTTTTCCCTTCTGTTCTGTTTGTCTGTTGTGGGCACTTCATTCCCTCTGCCTGCTGTACAACATCCCACTGAGCACACACCGTGTCCTCACCCTGCTCCTGTCGATGGGCGGGCGGGCTATTTCTCTGCCTTTACTCTTGTGAAACATGCCCTGTGAACGTGCCTGTATCACCTTCCTTGTCCATGTGGCAGACGTCCTCTTGGGGTCACACCCAGATGTGGAGCCCAGGCCGCAGGGACACTGCAGGGGCCATGGGTGGTGGCCTGGGGGCAGGGCCTCTCCAGCCCTGGGGCTGCAGGCTCTGCAGTGTTGGCCCGTGAACGGAGGGAGCGGCCTCACTGTGTCCTGGTTTCAGGTTGCGCCGAGCGCGGTCTGTGTTGACCGCCTCGCCAGTTTCCTTTTCTCGTAACATGTTTGCATCTTTTTCCCACTTTTCCTTCTCAAGCTTAGAGAAAAGTTGCAAGGACAGGGCAAAGAACTCCGCGCACGGCTAGCATTGTGTCCGCCTCCCAGCACCTGTGTGCTTCCTGCGCAGAAGGACATCGGGCCACGTACGTGCTTCGTTATGTTTGCGCCAACATGTTCCATTTTCTTTGGAGCAGTTGTAAGTGGACACTGTTTTCGTTTGTGCCCACATGTGACTGTGTTTCCGTGGAGAGGTGGCTGTCTGTGCTGGTCTCCCACCCTGTGATCCTGCAGCGCTCCCACCACTGAGGGTTCTCCTGGTGCACGACTGCCCGGCCCTGGAGACGCTGGCTCCTTCCCTCCTGGCCTCTCTGACCTGCTGGCGGCGCTGACAGGCACACACCCTTGCCTCCCACTGTCTCAGCGGGAAGCGTCCACTCTCCCTCCGCGCTGCGCTGGCTGCAGGCTCCACCACACTGTGTTCCTGGCCTGCTCAGAGCTTTTACCGTGAACACGTGTTGGGTTTTTTGTCAGATACTTTTTCTGTATCAGTTGGGATTTTCTGGTTTTTAAGTTATGTTTGTTACTGAAGATTTATAAGATTTTTTTCTGTATTCCTAGAATTGGGTGAGCTCTTTTGAAGTGCAGACTCAAGGTTTTTTCAAATGAGATAAATTTTTCTATACTAGTTCTTCATTTCTTCCCTTTTCATCTTGTTTTTTGCTCTTGGGGTTCCTGCGTTTGAGTGTTAGGTCCTGCAGTCTGCTCCTTTCCCGCTGTTGTCTCTTTCTTTGTAATTTTCCCTGTTCATGTCGCAGTTCGACCTTCCGGTTCATGTGCTCACGGGGAGCTGTGCTCCCACATGATGATATCGCTGCTGCTTTTAGAGCGAGACTCTGCTGTCAGCACAGGCAGCCTTTCCTTGGGTACGAGGGCAGCGTGGAGACTCCCTTCCCGTTTTCTCCTCCAGCAGCTCTGGGCTGCGCCTCACTCTGCTTCCCGGGTCCCCTTAGGTGCTCATGGGTGACTGCAGGCCACGCCAGCCTGGCAGAGGTGTGGGAGGAGGTGGTGGCCTCGGCTCCGGGTGGCCCAGCTCCCCGCCTCATAGCGCCCTCCCACTGGCTCCCTCCCCTCGGTCCTCCTACAACTACAACGTGGGCTGTGGATCACTAGTTGAGCGATCCGTTTGGAGCTCCATGGACGTGGGGTGGCTCACATGTGCTCCTGTGGTGGCTGCTTTTGCTGTCATACTTCAGTCCTGCTGCTGAGAACGTCGCCCGGGTGTGGACAGACTGTTGGTCCATTTTGCAGGGATGAACGTTCAGTGGTTTCCACCTCCCGGCCGTGAGGGACAAGGCCGCGGGACCCCCTGTCCGAGAGCTTGTGTGGGTGGACGCTTTCAGCTCTGAGGTGTGTGGGCGGATGGAGTTGCTGGTGGCACAGGAACTCTGTAGGTAGCACTTCGAGGAGCAGCCAGAATGTTTTCCAAAGTGGCTGCACCTTCTTACATTCTCACCAGCAATATATGAGTTATTTGATTTATTTGATACTGTTATAAGTGGCATCATTTAAAAAAACTTTGTAGCTATAAAAAAATTAATTGAACTTTATCAATCTTGTCTCCAGAAACCTTGCTAAATTCACTTTTAATTCTAATATTTCTCTGTAGATTCTCTTGAATTGCTTATGTACACAATCTTCCTCTTTCTGACCCTCTGTCTTGTGTTTCTTTTTCTTGACTTAAGTCTCAGGAATTTGTTAAAGTCGTGAGCATGGCCATTCTTGTCTCCTCCCCCCCGTCTCAAGATGGAGAGCGGGAACTTTTCCCTA